GAGCCTTACCTTGTCACATGGTAGCTAGGTTGAGGGGTCTTTCTCGGCTCAAATGCTGACGATCCAAAATCACCGATTTTCAGTAGGCCGGTGTTCTCATCAACGAGCAGATTCTGCGGTTTAATGTCACGATGACAAATACCGGCCTAAATTGACGTAGGATTCACCTAAGGCATCTGAAAATGCCACTCCTTAAGGCAGTGGGCACGATCGCTTGATGTGGGAGGTTGTTCCCAGAGTAATTGGTGGAAGGGCTGCGAAAGGGCGTTCGGCCACACCCCGCTCAGCTCTTCCACCAATAATACTGGCGAAAAATGCTCCCCTCCCCCTCCCCAGCGATCGTGCTCACTGACTTCAAGCTCTTCAGAATTGTGTGGATAGGGTCCTGGTTTACTTTTCTAGTCAAATGTCACACGAATTTGAAGGAGATTTGGTTGGCTCAACACTGAGAAAGACGGACAAAAGGAGTGAAGCTTCCTGCTAACCTAGCATAGGGCCAGCTCAGCGCAGTGGAATCCACAACTCTGCAAAGCTTCTGTAACAGAAGGAAGGAGCTCACCCTTAACAAATGGTACTGTCCGCGGAACAATTGCCATGCGAACATCTTTGTTTCAATGATGGCAATTCGGCGATTGTGCTTTTTCAGGTATTGATAGAGGTTCAGTGGGAAAAACTCGAATATCAGTGAAAAGCATGTCTGGAAATGGCGAGTTTCCAACGATTGTCAACTAGTCGATTGACGTCATGTCTAGTGGTCTGCACCCTCTTACACAGACAGCATGACACGTACCAACACAATTTTAGATCAGCCTTGCTGCGACATCTTTGCAGCAGACTATAAGGAGTGGGCGCCATGGCCTAGTGCTACAGCATTGTGAAACACGTTGCTGAATGACCATCTCGCCCCTCCCCTCACCGTGCTGGTGCTTCTAACGATGCTTTATCTGCATATGCCGCGGAAACAAGACCCGTCTCGCCGCTGTAGAAAAAAATTCGCAAAATATGATCCCCCCCCCCCCTTGCTGGGATCTCTGATGAGGGGCAGGTACTGCTCGGGAGGAAACCCTCTCAAGCGCACTGCTCGGGAGAAAACCCTCTGAAACGGGCGCCAAGCGGCGCTCTAGTGGTCTAGTGGGGTTTGCATTTAATTGAGCAACACCCTCTCACAGAGACACCATGATGTGTGTCCCACACGGTTAAGTCCCCATCAGAACATATCGTGTGCTGGACAGCGCAAACCCGATTTTCTCGCGACAGACTATGTCAGCCTCTTACCGCACGCTGTCTTTAGATGGAATAATGTGTTTTTCTTTTGGGCTGCAGAACATTAAGATGGGACCCGACAGGGCCCCAAAAAAACTGCTCCTTCCTAGCATACACGCGTTTCTCTCTCGGGGCTTTGGCAGTACAATCTGATGTATGCGATGCACGCGACCCCATGCCTACCTAGGATGTCACTAGGGCCGCAGGAGGACTACGTTCCTGAACTAGCGCCTTCGTCACATGTCCGAGATTTCCGCATTGAGCACGCCGTACGCTGGCAAATCCTAACGAAGGGCGGGGGGAAGGTCGTATTTACTCGCTGGAAAGTAGACGCATTCGGCCCTAAAAATTTTCTTTCACCGTGTCCAAGGAAATCTTCTTGGTCGACTTTCCGTGTTTTTCCGTTGCTGTCACGATATGTTATGTCCTCCTTGCCCCCACCAAAAGTGGTAGGAAGCTGGAGGAAGCGATGGAAGATGCAAGCTTAAGATGCAAGTCGCTCCTAAGGAGAAAGCTAATAAAGAGGCCGTATTTTCGAGTCCCCAGCGGACCAGAACGTGCCCTAATCACATTAAGTGCTCACAGAAGATAACGCCAGTCTTTAGTATTTCACACCAAATCGACATATTTCGAGGATGGCGGATGAGTCAGCATTTGCACCGTTGAAAAAGCCTACCGTTCGTCATTGCGCTCGTCTCATTCATGGCCAGCCAGGGCACGCCATCGTTGCGATGGTCACAGCGGGGGCGGGGCGCTTCGACAACGCGACGGGAAAGGGAGATCGTACCTGTCTCGGAATATTTTTTTTGGATAGTTGATTTCTTGTTTCACGGACGCTATAAGGAGGGGGGTCGTATTTGGTCGTTGCTTGGGAGAGGGACTGCCAAAGATCTATACAACTACTATTTCCGATAGTTGAAAATGATAGTTAAATCCTGACGACCTTCCCCTTCCCCCTTCCCCTCGATAGAAAAGCCGCTGGAAAAACTGGAAATTTTCGGGAAAATTTCATGGAAAAAGTGGGTAGAAGTGGGGCGAAAATTTAGGAACGCGTGGTCTAGGGTAGCATGAGCGAGCGGGGAGTTCGGTATAGGTCGTACTCGAGGATGGAATTAGGGGGTTGAACTTTTCAGGAAATATGCGATGGCGTGCCCTGGTGCCATCTCAGCTCTGAGGTGAATACGGTGCGTTTGAAACTTATCTGACCGAATGCAATCCACCGCAGGAAAGCAATCAATAGTAAATATGCAAAAGTTTAGGTAGTAGAGTCCTGGGTGCTTTTAGAGTTGGGGAGGGGAGCTAAACAAAGGGCTTAACAACTCACATTATCAGCGTATTGTGTACGGTAGCTGTAAAGTAATCGGACAACGTTCGGATGATTGAGGCGACTTAACATTTTTAAGATTTGAATTTCGAAACATGTTAGTGAAGACGCTGGAATGACTGCAGTCAGTAAAAGGCACGGAAAGAGAGGGGGAATGTGGTCGGACTAGTACACGCCCATTTCCTGCTCGTCTGCTCCCTCCAACCAAGATAGTGTTCACTGTATTCTATTGTGAATGGTAAGAGGTCAGACAAGGAGAAACTGGGCGTGGCATAGCCTTTTGCACTTTCTGATCGTCAAATGAAGTGATATCTGTAGCCGCTTACCATCCCGAGGTCCGGACCATGTTTTCTTGACCACGACCTCCATAGGTATATTAGTGTCTGACTCAGCGAATCCGCGATATACGTTACTGAATGCCCCGGATGAGAACAAATGTAAATTCCATAGCTTGAGGGATACCTGAAAAGCGTATTTCAAGTCTAGGAGGATATCCGACGCTGCCAAAGAGGTGCAGGGTTTAGAGAAAGCCAGGACAACACAGAATCCTGGAATTCTGAGAACTCAGAATCTGTACCTCACGATCGTCTTCAATTCTGAGCGCGAGGACGTCGGCAGAGTTAGTATATCCCATTTGTGGGCCGGCCAACCGGGGTGAGCAGTCGAGTAGAAATGAAAATTAAAGTAACGATGTGTTTAGTGAATGATATCGCGATAATGACGATATGATGTTGCCGTTTTAAAATGTTGATTAGGTAATTGTGATATTGAGTGAATCACGGTGGATGTTTGGATAAGAGGGGACTATTTGGCACTAATAAGTGCGCTTTGAGAAACCCTGCGTATTCCACTTCCATTCGCAGTCGTATTTGCATCTGAAGGCACGCCCTCGATCAGATGCGAAGCTGCTCTTCTTCACAAGCATGTAGTGGTTGCATCATTGTCACAAGGGTCACCAGGGTGCCCATGCTGTCATTTCACTCGTCGCCCAGCCCACATTCACCGGTCCCCGCCCAGCGCTCTACCCCTTCCAATAACGAGTAACCGCCGATAACATGGCGGTATCTTTTGAAGAGGACATTGTGAACAGGGGCCGCGCCGGTGGGCATCGTGTGGAAGACTGGGCGAAACGCAAATGACGATAAATGCTCCTTGTTATAAGTGGGAGAATAAACAACAATATACCGGAAAAGGAGGGGGGGGGGCTCGTAATTCGCCCCCAGGGAAAGTTTTTCGGTTTGCCTTGATTTCCTCGGTCTCCCTCTTTCAGCTGCCACATGTCCTCTCTCCCCTCCTTCCGCTCAGCGGCCAGTTCTTGGTGAAAAGTGGTAGGAAGAAGGGAAAATTTGAAGAGATGGTAGACAGGATGGGGATGGGAGAGGTCGTATCAGAAAGGGGATTTCCAAGGGGGAGAGGAGAGAGGAGAAGTTGTAACGAGCGAAATTTTTCCCCAACGGCAGGCTGTGTCTTGCCCACAATGCTGTAGACTACATAAAATCTGGTGCATCATTCGACAGACTTTAAAGAAAACAATGCTTGGGCCGTCGTAAGCATCGCGACTGAGCGACAAGTTGCTGTGCGATTGTCCTGACCTTCCCCACGCCCCCCCCCACCCCGATCCCCCATGTAGGCATGGGCATTCTTGTCAAGACGAAAACTAGGTGTACAGTCTGATTTCGTCTTGACAAGAATGGGACGGCGTACCCCATTGTATCAGCCTTCTGTGCCCGATTTCTGAGACACGCCATCATTGTGATAATCACAACTGAGGGTCGTATTGACCGCGAAGGAGGGGAGGTCGTATTTGATTTTAGAAAGAATTTTTTTGATAGTTGATTTTTCCTGTTTCACGGACGATATGAAGCGGGGAGGGGTCGTACTTAGTCGTCGTTGGGAGGATGGGCGTACTAGTCTCCTATCGGAGAAGAATTTGGCGGGCGTAGGAAAATATTTCCGACTTCCCTACAAATAGTTGAGTGGCGCTGCCAAACTATCTAGTCAGGGCACATCGTTGGTTGGGGAATCCCCAACAGGGGGGGGGGGTCGTATTTGGCCGCCAGGAGAGGGGGGTCGTAGTGAGTGCGGCAGCCAGTAACGAGCAGCGCAAATTGTCAATGTGCTGAGTCCTGTACAACGAAACTTGCTTTGTAGAGAACTCGGATATGCAAAAAAATAGTACAAAAACTTCATTCATCAAACTAATCCGAAATAACTGCAAATATTAATAAGTCGACATCATCTCGTAGGTCCGTTGGTGACTAAACAGTCACAACTCAACTGCTCGGTTCGCTGCCAGACGATACGGCTGTTCATTGTTTGCGGTCGCGCATTGGCGTGAGCCAACCGACTGTTTTTTTCTCTGAATCAAGCGACATAGGACTACCATATCGTTCATATCAGACGTTTTCCAGCAGTTGGTCTCCTTTATCGGAGTCAGCGATTGGCGGAGCACGAATCTGGCAGCGTTGACAGGGACATGTTCCATCATACGCAACGGAAAACACTGTAAACAAGTGCACAGGCTCGCCATGGACCTCCCTGAACCTTATAGACACATTTGCTCGCGTGAACAGACATTACGCACAAGTTGCACCATCCCATCACCTCTGCGCGGCCCTCAGTGCGCGGCGCATCCAAAGTTGGCGTGATCGGCGCTAAACGAACCATATCCTGCTCCTGCTCCACCACAGGATACGTTCTACATGCGTTCCTGGCTATTCGAACACGCTCACTTGAAACGGTACACAGGAAACGGGTTTTTCGCGCAGCTGGGAGTGTTCCTCAAGAAATCCCCATAGCGAGATCTCATGAATCCCGAGAGCTTCAGAAACATTTCAGAGGTTTTCAGAAAGAGAAAATCTTCAAACACTCGGATCCGTTCTCAGATTTGTGAAATGTTGAGTTACAAAAAAAATATATTGGTTCAAACCTGTTCAACTTAAACTTCAACCCTTCACTCCCCATGGAATCCCTATGGGCAGATTTCTCTGTGATTTTTGCGACCTTCATAAACGTTTCAGTACTTTTAGGAAGTGCAAACCTTCCTCTACACGAATACGGTCTCCTCTTCCCCACAGGTCCGCTTTTGAGGAAGTTATGGTCCTTCAAAGACACCTCTTACTTTGCCTAGAATAATCTCGCTCCATGGCTAAAATTGCCGAACGATCTGCGGTCACATCTGCAATTACATGCGCTTCTGCTACCGTACTCCAATAATCGGGGTAATGCATTTTTACGGCGGTTTGTATAACTGTTACGTAGTGAGACAAGCCTAACTTTCTCTTTTCCTCGTCCTCAATCTTGGGAATAGACGTTGTTAACACTGTGGTCGCTGATGGCCGCTCCCAGAGAGGGAGTTCACGTATGCCCATTGAATGTTATCGCGATAATACGTATTTATTACCATGTGTGTTTCAAAACGGCCATCGAAGAAGTTCATCATACGAGTTTCTCATAATACGATTGTACCGTTTTTTTGTTTGCAATCATCTCTGTATTGTTCTATTATGTCATGACTTCAAGTCGTCCATTTAGTATGGGCACCTTCATACAAGTAGAATTTCATAGTGGGCGTTTCATAGTTTCATTTAAGGCGAAAAAAAAAAACCGAACGGCAAAAAAAGGGGGGAGGGGTCGTAACCGAACCCATCCAAAAAAAAAAGGGGGGGGGGTTGCTACAGGCTCGAACCAAAATCGCCCCAATCGAAATGCGTGCCCTGATTCTATACAACTACTGTTTCTGGATAGTAAAAAATAGCAGGTGTCCTTGACACGACTCTATCCCGTCCCCGGCACTTGCCCGCCCTCTCCCAATACCCGCAACTTTGGGAAACATAGAATTTCTCAGGAAGTGCCGGAAAAACTGGTAGAAGCTTGGGCAAATTTAGGAAAAGGTGTATAGGGTGGTGAGGCGGGGGGGTGCCGGTATCAGAAGATGGAATAGGAAGGTAGTATTTTTCAAAGATTATTATCAACAGTCACGCGTGCCCTGCCGGGATCATACCCTTTGCTCGCCTCTGCTTGTAGAGATGCGTTCGTCATGGGATTTTATAAAAGGCACTGGCGACTACTATATATTCTGGTAGCACGACATCCCTTGCTCCACTTCCCAGAATATATGGGCACGGGCTTTGCCTTTAGTTTCGACTCAGCCAACAACAGCGAATGCCTACACAAATGGGGTAAGACTTAGGAGATCTGTGGGGCCGTTTTGGTGTGGCACTATGAGGTGCCCAGTCCATTCATTCATTTGTCCACCAGTGTGATGATTTCCCGAGGTTCCCACATGCGAACATCGTTTGCCGGCACGATAGCGAGATTTACATCGACGTTCCCTGGCAGTTTAGTGTAATTCGACTCGGGGAAAAAAGCGCGAAATCACTCAAATGGGATGGGCAATGCATTGAGAATCGAGGAATGATGGCTCCAAGCTGCTTTGGTTGCACTTCATCTCTCCTGTACTGCTTACTCTCTTGATTTCCCGTATTCTGCGATGAATCTTTGGTTTTCCTATATCTATGGGAAGCTCATTATGAAGCTTTTGTGAAAATGCTTCGCCATAGTAGTGGTATATGACTCTTGACCCATAGCCAGAGCCAGATATCAGGCTGCGGCGCGGGCTCAATCTCGGTTTGACTGCCACCCGAAACGGCCATGTTTCCATCTCTTTCGGGTCGGTTTATAGGGGAATAACATCTTTCGGGAGGGCAAAAACACTCACTGTCACATGTTTCGACCCTTGAACTTCATTGTACAGGTCCAAACACATGCAAAACGACTTATGATTTTTGATGGAAGTAAAATGCATGGCGCATCTCAATTAGGTATCGAGCAATGCCGGAAACCTTATCCTTCGACTAGCCTCTATTACTAGGCTACCGAATGGGCCACTTCGCTGGCTTCTCTGCCTGCTTTCAATTCTTAGAGTCGGGGTGGGCGTGGCCGCGTACTTCATTTGAACATGGAATACGATGCTTTTTCGTGGGATACTCCCAGGTGAGGCAGCCATATCTTTCTGAGCGTAGGCTTGATTGGCAGTTGTCCCATGACAGCATTACGCTACAGTGAGCGTTGTCGTATTACAAATGATGTTTGCAGCAACGCCCTTGCTTACTCTGTGACATGGAGTGTGTGGTCCATAATGATCCCTCTAGAGACAGTTGTTACTATTTTTAGAAGAACCATTATCAGTGGAGATGGCTGGGCGGGCGCACTTTCATTGGTGGAAGGGCTGGGCGTAGTCTAAACGCCCTCTCGCAGCTTCCACCAATGTAATGGCACTTACTCCCCCTCCCCTGCCTTCAATTAAACTGATTGGCAGCCCCTGTGCTAGAACAGTAAGAACCAAGGATAACATAGAAGAACTGAAGGATATTGTTTGATTTCGTTATCCTTTCTGGTACACAAGTGTATGCTTGAACTCAAAGGCGCCCAACAGTTTACAATTTCTGCCTCCCGTATTCCAGATTTTATCCCTTCTCAAGCCAAACAAACGTTCTCTGTCACCAGGGTGCATAAATTAATTGACTGGGCCACGTCTTGTCGCTGGAGAAAATTGTTGCAAAATACGACTGAACCCCAAAT